TATTAACAGGTCATGGCTGCAACAGAACTGCAGCCATAGGCAACTGCAGAACACCCCTGATCACAAAAACCCCTCATCACAAGGCAACCATGGAAACCCTGCTTGTAATAAAACCGTTTCATTTATTTCTTACAATCCCCCCTTTCTCTTTTCCTCATGGTTTTATTACAAGCTAAACATCAGATGTTCTCATTGTCCTTTCGGGATCGTTCCCATTCCACTAGTGTCTCTAACATTTTGGTCTTATTTTTCACTTGCTTGGAGCCGGGGTGTAGGACCATGATCTTCTGCATTTCCAGGTTCCCAGCTGCAGCATCTTTTGGATTCATCGGTATGGTGGTCAGGTGCCTTCTTTGAACTACACTAAGGATTAACTTTATAAGACATGGGGTTAAGCAAGGCAGAAGTAACAGTCCAACAAAGGCACACAAAAGAAGGAAGCTCAGCTGTTTCCACCATGTTTTCCCAAATAAACCAGTCCACCACCCCTCTGATTCATGGTCTGTTTTCCAGACATTTGTTGCTATATTGGTTATTGCTCTTCCATTGCCATCTTTTTGTGAACAACAGTTTGAAGTACTGAATTTACCGCAGACCCCTCCTTCCTCTGCCAAGAAGTAATCTAATGCCAGCCGGTTCAGGTATGTGGCTGCTTTGCTGTCCCAGTTTAAATGAGACAAAGGTCTTTTGCTGAAGATGAGTTAGGAGAAAAGACCCAAACTTCTCTCACTAAGCAATTATGAATCCAAAATTAAAAGGCTCCAATTCAAGGAAAAAGAACAAATTATGGAAAAGGAAAAATAACAACCCTTTATTAAAAGGTATGTGTGCATTAACAGAAACACACACAAAAAAACCCCAAAACAAAACATGTAAAACAACCAAACAATACTCCTATACTCACAAATAATCCCTTGTCGTGGTTTTGCCCAGTCGGTCAGCCCCTGGGGCTGAGAATGGTTTTGTCCAGGTGAAGTTCCGGACAATAAGCCAATTCAAACTCTCAGTAACGCCTTTGCTAATTACATATTTAAGAAAACAGAAGAGAAAGTAGATTGCGCAGTTGAAATTAAGAGCAGCAGCCATGTAGAGGTAGCTACAAGGCCCTAAGGGGGGCTAGGCCCCCTCCTCCTCTGGCCCTGGGCTAGGGGCAGGTGTAACACTGAAACTCCTCCTTCTCTTCTGTAAGAGAGTGAAGAGAAAAAAACCTTTAAAAGACGAACTGCTTGGACAGAAACTGCGGCAGAAGAATTCCGGCAATGAGATAACGAAGTATCCAAGGTCAAGGCTAGCAGCCAGAGAAGAGAGAAGAACTGTGCAAAGGGGGGGTTGTTTCTTCCCCTTGTTTCGCTCGCTCTCTTCAGCAGGAAAAAGACTGAAAAGTAATCCCTGCCACGTATGAAAATTTGTTGGAGTGAGTAGACCCCCCATGTGGCTCACAGAGGAGCTTGTGGATGTACCAGAGAACTGAGACTTCATGAGAGGGACTGAAATGAGACAGAGTCCTGTTGAAGATTTTATGACCCTGAAGGGACGAGGTTTACGCTGGAGCAGAACGGCTTGGGTAAGCTTGGGATCTCAGTGAGAAATCCATGCTGCTAATGCTGGAGATTTGTGACCCTGAGGGAAACCCACGCTGGAGTGAGATGGCTCAGGTGGGATGTTGGAATCTCAGTAAGAGATCCATGCTGCTGGTACTGGAGATTTGTAACCCTGCGAGAAACCTCACTCTGGAGCAAGACGGCTTGGGTGAGATGTGGGGATCCAAGTGAGGGATCCATGTTAGACCATGCTGGAGAAGTCTATCAAGGACTGTTCTCCCATGGGGAGGGACCTCCATAGGGAACAGGGGTGGACTCTTAAGCCATTATACCCTGTAACCCCATGGAAGAAGATCCATAGTAAGCAAGTGTCCCCTTGCAAGCCTATGGAAGGAAAATCCTTCAGGACCTGAGTAACCCCCTAGCCTCTGATCTTAGCCCAGGATGGGGGTAGGCCCAGCCCTGGAGACCGACACAGAATGAGAAAGAAATTAAGGAGTTCCAACTGCGACGAGAGTGCTGCAAAGTTATTGAGGAGACCTGGAACTCCAAAAATGGAGAATGAGACTGCTTCTCCTCCTTGGACTGGTATAAAGGGGGGGAAGTATTTCTGTAAATACTTTTACTTAAGTAGAATTGTTATAGATGTAGTTCTTTTGTAGTTTTTATTTTACTAATAATAAATATTCATACTATTTTCCCCAAATCCTGTCTCTCTTTTGTCTGCATAAACCTTCTCTCAAATAATAATAATTGTGTGGGGAGTGTGAAAGCAAATTGACCCAGAGCAAAACCACCACATCCCTTTCAAAAACAAACCGATAAACCGGCAAAAGGAAAAGTAAACAGTTCAATTTTGTGCCCTTTGGTGCAATTCCAACCACAGTCAGCAGGGGGCGGTGTCGTGTCACTGGAGATGAGGAACTTGTAATGTCCTATAGCAGTCACCGGGTGGCGCTGTTGGATCACTGGAGGTGCAGAGCTTGCAATGTCCTGTGCCCGCCACCAGGAGGCGCGGTGGGATCTCTGGTTGCGCCGGGGGGAAGGGGGAGGGCAAGAAGAACGCCCTCCGGGGTGTGTCGGAGAAAAACCAAAAAAACTCGGTTCCCCTTCCCTTCCCACACACTGGGAAAGGGAAGAGGGAGAGGGGAAAGAGACCAGGCAGCTCCTATTTACTCCAGCTGGTCAGTCTCCTCTCTGCCCAGTCCTCTCTCTCTCTCTCTCTCCCCTCCTTGGGAGCTCCTCACTCAGGGAACGGTGAAAGTGAAAAGCAAAGAAAAAAAAAAGAAAAACCTCTAGGGGAGGGAAAAAAAAACAAACCAGCAGCTCCTATCTGGTGAAGGACTCAGACAGGCTTCCAACTGGCAAGCCGCTGCTGGCCCAGAGAGCAGCACACAACCACACCCCACAAAAAACAAACAAACAAACAAACAAACAAAAAAACAAAAAAACTCCTCCTCCCCCGTGGCCCAGGAGATGAGAGAAAAAGGTAAACATTAGCTTTTCATCTGCCTCGTTTCCTAGGAGACTGATCTCTCAGCCATTAGCCAGGCCACCTAGCCCTTTGTATCTCTCAAGTGTTCACTTGATAGCTCTGAAGCAGGGGGCAGGGGGAAGGGGAAAAATTCCTGGAAAGTTTTCCCAGAAGGAACCAAACCATAACACCAGGGAAGGGCAATGAGACCACAAGTGCCCGTGGGAGTGACTCAAAGGGGCTTTTCTGTAGTGACCAAACGAGAGAATTCAACCAGTCAACAGGCATTTCCATTTTT